CTTATTTGGAATGGGCAAAATTCTGAGTCCGTGCTTCACTGGGACTAAGGAAAGCAACGTTCGTAACCCATGAGATGAACCCATATTCTTTCCAGCTCCCCAAATTTTGAAATTATTAACCAGATGGTTAAGAGAACCAAAGTGCAGAGGGATTCTGAAACTTTTAGCGCATTTTTTTTACATCTAGGAGCAAACTCAAGAGGAGGTAATAATAAATCAAAAGCAGATATGGTTCACTCAATTAAGGCCATGGGGTTTAGCTTCTTAAGACACCCCACCCTTGTCCTGGGTGCGAAGGACGGGGAAACTGCCCTTAAGATGATGTTTTCTAATGAAAGCAGCAGCCGCAGAAACCATAATAACCAGATTCAAGAATTTAGCTCTGATGAGAATTTGTACAGAAATTAAAGCTGCAAGATGTTATCAGGAAAGAAGACAATTTTTATAATACTGGCTTTCCCCCTTTATTGAATATAAAATAGATCTCCGTGTTTTTCCTTCTTCATGGTAATTTCTGGGACCATTCCTTCAGCTAAAGATGACCTGATCAAACAAAGAGCATCATCTATAAATCCATAATTCTTTTTGCCTGTATTATATGTATTTCTTCTTTTATATTACACCCGTCTTAAGGTAAGGGCTTTTAAAAAAATCCACAGGATTGAGCTGCAAATTACCTTTTTTAAAAAAAACCTAATTATCTCAAAATCTTTAAATATAGAATTTGGAGCAGCTACACCTTAATATTCCTTATCTACATAAAGTGTGATGTGCCTCTTTATCTGGATTTATATATGGAGGCAAGTTTTTTAAAAAAATAAAAGAGCGATGTTCTTTTATTTTCATCAAAAACCTAAAAAAAGTTGCTTTCTCTTTGCCCTGATTGCATTTTAAATACAGTGGGGTCTTGACTTGAGAACTTAATCCGTATTGGAAGGTGGTTCTCAAGTCAAAAAGTTCGCATGTCAAATCTGCATTTCCCATAGGAATGCATTGAAAACCATTTGATCCGTATCTGCTCTTTTCCGTCCATAGAAACTAATGGGAAGCTGCTATTCTGCCTTCGACCACTAGAGGGGGAATACTTTGTTTCTTTTTTTCTTAGGTCAAGAAAGGTTCAGGGAAGGCAGGGAAAATACAGTCCAGGCAGTACCAGGCAGTCTGAAGACTGTCTCCCAATCCACTCTCTAAACGCTGGGAGGAGTGAGGAAGCAGACAGGCACCCTTTTCACTGGCCAACAGTTAACTGAAAGTTCAAATTTTGCACTTTCCCTGCCTCCCACGTGGGTTTTTTTCAGTTCTTAACTCAAATCTAAGTATGTAAGTCAAGTTAATATTTTCCTATGAAAGTGGTTCTTAAGTCAAAATGTTCTTAACTCAAGCCGTTCTTAAGTCAAGCTGTACATGTTGTTTCTGATTAAGTATTTCTTAGTCCATGGGAAGAGTTTTAAATCTGTTTGAGTCTTGCAACCCTCCATTGGTCGTAGAACTACAGAGTCCATCGTCCTCAGACAACAAGGCCAGTGGCCAAAAGAAGTAAGGAAAGCGTGTTCAAAACTAGATTCCATTTGAGGGAGGATGATGTCAACAGCATTGGGAAAAAGGAAGCAACATGTGGCTTTCTTCTTGAGTCAAAGCCTGTGCTTCTTAAGAACAATGAAGACGAGGAGCTTAATTTGAACCCAAGTTTCCTGAGTCTGATGGGACTTGTAGTCCAAGACATTTGAAGAGCAAAACACACCGGGAAAGGCTGGTTAAGCTCAGGTGGCTCAGGAGAAAGTGGTTTTACAAAATAACTATGCAAGACCTAGCATGCTAAGCAGTCAAACAACAACTAAGGTCTAGCAAAGTGACACCACTTTTTCTTGTTCCCTTTCTTTTTTACGCAGCTTGGGCTAGCTCTTTCAAGAGCTATTTATTTGTTCAAGTTAGTTATTTAGTTATTTATTTATTTCCTTCCTTCCTTCCATCCTGCCTTTCTCCTTTAAAAAGTACCCAAGCAACTTCTTATCATTAAAAGACAACATATAAAGGTAAAAACAGGAAGCAGAGGGGGAAAATAATCAGGCCAGTTAATAAATTAACGGGGGCAGCTTTAATTTATTGCCCCTAAGGGCTCAAAGGCAAGGGCTGCCTCCCCTTTCAGAGTGAATCAACACTGGTGTAAATCCCACTGGTTCAGTAGGCTTACTCAAAGGAGGACAGTCCGCTGCATGCCAGGTCCTCGAGATCTGCGGAGGCTTCTGTCCCCCCCCCGCCGCCTGACTTGTTAGGCGTGCTAATGAAGAGGTGGCGGTGGTGCGCGCGCAGGTGGGTGCGCCGAATGACTTCACTGAGGCTCGGTTTAATTTGATCAAGCTGTTAAAACAAGGTGACCCCTCTGGGCGGTGGATTCAGCGCCTGTGGCTGCCAAGGGGGTGGGGGTGGGGAAAGACAGAGGAGAAAGAAGAGCAAAAACGGGAAGAGGGGCCAAATTCTCCTACAAAGGGAGCCTGGGAGGAAAAAATACGACCTGAAATAGCAAAAGGAGAAACGAGGACTGGTTTAATGCACGCACGAAGCACACAGGAACATCATCATGGCTTCTGATTGCACGAGGTGCCGCTTTGCGGATGCGCAACAGGACACCCCCCCAAACGGTGAGGTACTGGTCCCTCTATTTGACATTGGTTGGGCCTTATCCTGAGTCCAGTTCTGGACACCCCACTTCAAGAAGGATGCTGAGAAATGTGAGCAAGTTCAGAGGAGGGCAAGAAGGAGGATGATCAGGGGGCTGGAAACCAAGCCCTGTAAGGAAGAAAGATGGAAAGAACTGGGCAGGTTTAGCCTTGAGAAAAGAAGATACCGTGGTGCCTCACTTAACGGCGATAATCCGTTCCAGGAAAATTGCTGTTAAGCGAAAACATCATAAAGCGAAAATAAAAAGCCCACTGAAACGCATTGAAACTCACCATCCAGCGATCCTCCATATGGCGGCCATTTTCGCTGCCTGTATAGCGAGGAATCCGTCCCTAAACACAGTGGGAAACCATTTTAAATACCCGGTGGCCATTTTGAAACTGCCGATCAGCTGTTTAAAAATCATCATTTTGCGAAGAATCGGTTCCTTAAGCAGGGACCAGATCATTGCTAAGCGAAATTCCCCTATTTAGACCATCATTTTGCGATCGCAATTATGATCCGCAAAAAGATCGTCGTAAAGTGGATTCGTCGTAATGCGGGGCAATCGTAAAGTGAGGCACCACTTTAATACGATAGCACTTTTGAAATACTAGAAAGGCAGTCCTGCAGAGGAAGGGCAGGATCTGATCTCGATCATCCTCAAGTGCAGGACATACACCAAGGGGCTCAAGGGATAGGAAGCCAGGTTTTGGCTGAATCTCAGAAAAAAATTCCTTTACTGTTAGAGCAGGACGACAACAAAAGCGAACATCTCAGGAGGTGGTGAGTGCTACAGCGCTGTGGCGGCCTTCAAGAGAAAATGGGATTCCCGCCCCCCACCTGTCCGATTTGCTTGGAGTGGGCTTCCTGCCTTGAGCAAGAGGTCGGGGACTGGATGGCCTCAGACGCCCCCCCCTTCCAACTCAAGGATTCGGTCATTCTATCCAATGCTAAGTGACTTCATGATAAACCCGAGTAATTGATTCTGTCGTATCATTCCGCTTCCTGAAACCCACAATGGCTTGGAGTTTCTTTTTTTCCACGCCCACCGTGCTTCCCTGCTCCCCAGGCATAAAAATCCCACAAACAAACCTGCTCCGGTTATATACCTTAGTTAAAAAAAAAATAATCAGTGCATTTCTAAAAGGATAAAGGAGGTGTGGGAAATGATGCTCGAAGCTGTGTTCTCAGTGAGCCGAAAGTGCCATCTGTCCCTCCATTTTTAAGCACGAAATTATTTTTCATTGTCATAGATCATTTTCATAATACATCTTCCCTTCCCACTCAAATTATACACCCCTTTACGGAAATCCAGACAAAGTAGCCTCTTCAAGAAACGCCCATATACCACAGACTGAGAAATGGGAGCCAGAATCCTTTCACAGTTTTACTCCGGAGTCATTGGAACTGCACACATTGCAACTGGTTGCAAAGTGTTGGCTGCACCACGGGTCACGCGCCAGGTCTTGTGACCGGCCACGAGACCAGGCGCACAACCAGCAGCTGGTCACTCCGGTAGCATCTGCCATGTCCTGTTCTCTGGAGGAAATTCCCAACAGGGTTGGGACTCAGTGTTCCTTAATTCACCAACACACAATTCACAGCAGGGGGACAACCTGGGGCAAATTCCCACCCCCCCAGAAAACACCAAAAAGGTGAGAAGGGTAACCACAGCTGGACAACACTGCAGACTCTCTCCAGATGGAAATGGTAGAGAAACGCACGGCGAGGTTCAACCTTGAGCTTCCATCCACACAAGAGCGCAACCAGGCACCAATCTCAACACTGCACATGGTCTCGGTGCCCTAAAAAAGTCTGGGGAGGCCCCCCAGGAAAAACTCCAGGGCTCCTCAACTCCCATTGCAAAACCCCCTTCATTAACCGATTTCCACTGTTTTCATGTCCACAATGCCCGTCATTCTTCATTGTTGAGCCCAGGCTCTTAGCCGTTAAAGAGCCTGGAGCCAAGAATCATCTTCATCATCCTGCCCACCACCCCAAAAAGTCCAGAACTGACACCTTTTAGGGACGGCACCTCTAAAGGTCATCTGGTCCACCCCCATGCCATGCTGGCCCTCACCACTGTCTTCCAAGCTAAACATAACCTGCTCAATGACATCTTCTCACAGGCGGAGCAACAATGAAGGAAAGAGGGCCCTGAGCATGTACAGAGAGCTCCCCCCTCTTCTGCATCCAGACCATGAGCAACAAGAATTCAAAAAGGAACATTTTTTTTAATTTTAGAAATAAAAATAAAACGAACACATTCTGAATTTTCTGAGCCCAGCGTTAGAATGGATGAAAAACGGTGATGTTCAAGGGGCTGAGGCTGAACTTACTTTCCGCTGCGCAGCCGATCAGCAGCGAGGAGAGGAAGGCGAAGAACAGGATGAGCAGAGACATCCCAGGGCCGCAGTTCATGCTGACAGCGGGCGGAGGGCCTCCGACCTCGGCCAGTTTGGGCCCCCTGGCTCAGTGAAACTCACAGCGCCTCCGGAGTGGCGTCAGCACCTAAGGAAAAGCGGGAAAAGAGTGGATGGTTAAGGGTTTGTGTTTTTTAATCGACATACTGGAAACAAGCCAAAGACTGTCCAGAAAAGCATGCAGAGATGCAACAGCTGCCCTCTTTTCTGCCAGGGGATTACTTGGGGGGGGGAGAGAGAATGTATTTTCAGGATTTTCTGCAAGAAAACCTTTAACCCACAGCAAATATTTCACCAATCCCCTGCTGGGAAGATAGCAAAACCTACATCAGCCCCACAGCTCTACCTCACCAGGGTGTGTGTGTGTGTGGTTGTAGGGCTAAAATGGGGACAGGGAAAAACACTGAGATGCTGGGGGGAAAACTGAGATCCTAATTTAAGTAAGCAACGCCACCGAATAGTCAAGAAGACAACCACCGGAACAGGGAGAAAATGATAAATGGGATAAAAATAGACAGGTCGAGACCTGCATTGCACTATTTTTAAAAAACAAGGCACGGATTTGAATCCAGTTAAAACACGAGAAGACATGAACTGCTGGACGGCTCAGGGGTTTAGGTCTCTGGCTGCGGAGCTAGAAGTCGGGAGTTTGAATCCCGCACTCGGCCTCCTTGACCAGAGGCTGGACTGGATGGTCTCTAGGGTCCCTTGCGGCTCTGCCGTTCTAAGAGGATTATGATGAGAAGCCAAAGAGATAAGCTTCCCACATGGCCCCCTGGATGTGTCTTTATAGGGTGCGGTTGATAGATAGGATGCTTAACAGCACGCCAGGGGAGCGCTCCCTGCCCCACACCCGCATCCATGAACCCGGGAAGGACGGGAAAGAGAAGATGCTCATCTCAGCTCCTTTCTTTCATGGCCTTTTTTGCCCACTTCCGCTCCACTTTCCTCCGGGAGTCCTTGACATCGCTGCCAACGGAGATATTAGGAGACGTCAGCTTCAATTCAACGACTCATCCTTCAGGTTTAGGCCCGTCCCCGATTCCGCTCCGGCCCGCTGAGGCCGAGAAATTCCAGAACCAGCCAGGCACAAACGCTGCTCCTGGTTCCCCTCTGCCCGGCGGAGGTGGCATCCGGGTAGGGGTGGAGAGGGCCGTGTGGAGGCCAACCCCAAAGGATGGCTGTATCCCCTCAAGGGTCTGGGTTCGAGATCTTCCCTGGTGTAATCGGGTACGGATGGCGAGAGCAAAACAGAGGGGGGGAAGCCACCCGAGGACCGGTCTTCGTAGACCAGGGTGATGTGGAAATGCAGCATTTTCCATGGAGAAGGATGCGTCCAAAAATCTGTTGGTACAGAGAGCCTTGATGGGGCTCATCGATAAATTACCTTTTCAGAAAAAGGCGGAGCAAAATGGAAGGTTTCCGTTTCGTAGACTCTTTTGGTTATGCACAACGTAGATACCACATCTATCAGGTGTGGCAACGAGGCAGGGAAAGAGCCAAACTGCTTGTGGCACCATCTGGTTAGAGCTGTTTCCAGACAATCGCACGACGCACGGGAGATCACGGTACCAAGCAGGACCTTTTTGGTTACACTGGGAGGGCTACCCTTTCGGGGGACCAGCCGGGAGCGATGATTAGCCTTGAGGAAAGAAGACGGAGGGGAGATCGGACGGCACTCTTCAAAGACGGACCGACAGAAGAGGGGCAGGATCTGTCCTCGATCATCCCAGAGTGCAGGACACGTCAGAATGGGCTCAAGCAACAGGAAGCTGGACTTTGGCTGAAGGCCAGGGGGAAAAATCTTCTTAACTGTTGGGACAGTACGACAACGGGACTCATGACCTCAAGGGGAGGGGGTGAGGCCTGCAGGAGAAGGTGGGACCAACATCTATCATTTTTCTTTGATTTGGATTCCTACCTTGATCAGGGGGTTGGACCCGACGGCCTCAGAGGCCTTCTCCAGCACCATTATTCTGTGAGCCCTCTATAAACAAAATGGTCGCTTTATGGGAGGTGGCCCCCAGCAAAGCAACCCTTTTCGGTGAGATCAGACATGATCCTTCCTCACTGTCAGATCAAACCCTAAGTCTGTGAAACCCTGTTCCTTAGTATCGTAAGTAGCAAGTAGGGTTGGCCTACTGAATTCGTGGGGATTCCATGCGCCAACTCCTTCCCAAGTTCCCTTGACTCAATGTGCCAACTTGCAACTTATGATAGTAAGGATTTCAGACTTGCAACAGAATGGCAGAGCTGGGAGGGACCCCTAAGGATCATCCGTTCCAGCCCCTGTCAAGGAGGCCCAGTGGGGGATTCGAATTCCCAACCTCTGGCTCTGCAGCTGAAGACCTCAACCCCTGAGCTACGCACCAGGTTCTACCTGTTGTTCCCCTGCTCTGGTCCTACAGCTGAACTTTGCTGCCTCTCCCTGATACAGACAAGAGCACCTAGCAAAAACGTTCACACTAACTGTCAACACGGACAACTATAGATGTTGCATGGCTCAAATTCACCAAGGATACAGGTAACAGTGCCTACCAGACCCTGTCAGGCTATTTGCCTCGGAATTAGCAAAGATAAACCACTTGAGACTCCTTGATTCCAGCCCCCCCCCTCAGGTTTGCGGATCCAGTGAAGGCCCTGAATGCAGAAAAACAAGTCAAAGGCAGCGTCACAGTTGCTAGCCAATACAAGCCTGCGACAGTTCTCTCTTGTTCCCGAAGGTCAGGGTAACAACAAAAGAAACAGAGCGAGGGGGTCCAGAAAGAACGGAGCTTTATTTTTAGAAAGCTACCCAATGTATTCCAACAACTGCCCTCGTTCAAGGATAATGACAACACACATTTACATACATTAACATGGATTAATTACTTCCCTTGTCTCTCTATACAAGGCCGGCTGTGATATGCAGGGTTGAGATATGTATATTCTGCCACCCGACTCTGTTTTCTGACAGATTACTTTAAAAACCATCCCCGTTCAGAGGAGCGACTTTAAACTTCCTCCCGGCCTCACAAACTGGGCAAAGAAGTTCCTCCCCCACCCCCAAAGAATATTCTTTCCCTCGGCCTTTAAAAACGGCACATTGCTCGCTGAAAAGCACCCACATCCGATCATTATGCCAACCCTCTTTGTAGGCGCTTTGATAGGGAACCCCCAAAATAGAACACCAGGCTCAAAAAAAGAAAAGGCTCAGCTAAATATAAAGCCAAGCCTTCTATATCTACAAAGGGGCTTTTATTTTGGGGGGAGAGGAAATTCTAGGGTGGCGCCCACCTCCCTGCGGCTGCTTTCTCCCGTTTCGGATCCTTAGAAAAGTTGTGCTGAACATCTGGATTGAAACAGAGAGAGGAAAGCCAGAGCGTACACGCAAGGAACGAATTAATAAAACATAGACATCCAGTTACCTTGAATTGCCTTCCAGAAGAAGGAGGCTCAACTCATCCATTGTTTTAAGAGGTAGCAAAATCTTATAAAACTCAGTGTCCCCTTTTCAGAACAAAGCTAGCTGTTGAAAAAAATCTTATAAAACTCAGTGTCCCCTTTTTAGAACGAAGCTAGCTGGAGAGATCAGGGGTTGAGGTCTCTGGCTGTGGCGTCAGAGGCTGGGAGTTCAAATCCCCCGCTGGGCCTTCGTGACAGGGGCCGGACTGGATGATCTATAGGGTCCCTTCTTGTCTGCAGTTCGGTGATGATGACGATGGATAGCTCAGGGGTTTAGATCTGTGGCTCTGGAGCCAGGGGTTGGGAGTTCGAATCCCCCACTGCGTGCCTGCGGCCAGCAGAGCCAGCCTGGGTGACCGTGGGCAACCTGCACACAGTCCCAGGGCACCCCAGAAGAAGGGAAGGGAAAACCACCTCTGAAAAGGGTCATTATAAGTCAGGATGGCCTTGATGGCGTGAGAGTCTTATTATTTCTAGACACAGAATTTCTTTGTTGGAAAACGGCGAAGCAGCAAACCAAGCTGGTCAGTGAACGCGATGCTAAGGGCCTACGGGTTAAAGTTTTTGTCGAGGGGACCCAAAACCAGAACGGGCAGCCCCAGACTCGGCCCCAGATCTGGGCTGCAGGCTGGGACGTTATTTGTGGTGCTGGGAAGCTATTTTGAGAGAGACACACGGAAAAAAAAGCCGTCCCGAGCTGTGTTTAGAAATTAGTTCCTCCAACGCTGACAGTATTGACAAGCTGTCACCGAGCCGCACGCTGCCTCCGGAAAGTGTTTAGCACCTGCGGCCAAACGGTGACATGACAAATTTCGAAGGGGACCCAAAATTAGCCGGGAAGGAAAGGTGACAACGCGTCAGAGCTCAAGGTGGATGGGCTGAATCAGGACCCGCGGCCGTCTCAAGTGTCTCCTGCCCTGGTTTTTCTTCCGTGACAGTTGGCAAAGCCATGGGGCGAGGTGGGGGAAAAATAATCTTGTACTCAAGGACCAAGAACGGTGTCCACTTTATGGGAAATTAATCTAATGCCACAACGCTCTGCCCCAAAGCTACTTCCACCTCTACATCCCGTTATCTTCAAAGAGCTGCAAGCGCATGCAACGTTGGAATGGAGATTTTGGGGCGACGCTCCTTGTCTGGCAAACGGCGTGCCTCCTTTACGAACATTCGGTTCAATTCACAGCAAATGCATTTGGGAACACCGCCCCCTCCTGTTCCCAGGTCTAACGAAGAGATAGCATCTCCATGGGTCTGCATTTAAGAACGGAAAAGCTGAGGTCAATCAACTCAGATGCCTACGGCGCAGGGCAACCACAACCCCCAAATGTCCCTGGACTCCACCTCCCATCAGCCCCAGCCAACATAATAACCCTGCCCCCAAAAGAAGACCTGAGTACTGGGTTTTATCTCCTATCTTCTGCTTTTCTTACAAATATAACCCTTCTCCTCTCAACTTTATCTTCTATACAACCCTGCAAGGTAGGCCGAGAAAATGTGGCTCACCCAGTGTGTTTCGTGGTTTAAGTGTGGACTTAAACCTGCATCTCCGGAAGCCCAACCTGATTCTCTAAGCAGTAGACTCCACTGCCCCTCAACAAACAACAGGTTTAACACAGAGTGATGAATGTAGAAACCTTGATCAAA